ATTTTACGTGTGGAGTAACATCAAGAACGCTTGAATCCCTAGAATGTGGAGGCAAGTATACTCTCGTTGTATATTCACTGATATATACATACAATAAGATCACTAGTAACAAGTGATGTGTTAATATGCATAAGTAGCGTTATCCCAAGCGCTTTCGTAATTTCTCACATTATCAAGGAACAGCAACACTGATAAAGCAAGAGAAGGGCTATATATCAGAGATGTGACTTCACATGGACAGTCAGTGGGTTGCTAGTCACCTCATTCACTCAGCCTGGGAGATACATTTCCACTCTTCTGAAATTTTTAGTCAAGTCACATGCCAGGTAAAAATTAAAGATGACATATCAGGTTTATACGGTGTAAGGGTGCGAATATTGGTGAAAATGAGGAGGAGAAATAGGGAAGTAAGAAAGGGAGAAAGAGGAGTAGAGGGAGCTTAAAATAGAAGTTTTAAGAATGATAGAGAAAGGGAGAAGGGAGAGTGAATGAGAGAGAGAGTGTGCTACGAGGTGTGAGAAAAAGTGAATGGATACGGGAACTACATAATTAAATAAATAATAATATATATGTATAAATACCCGAGCGAGGATGATTGACGGTACCAACTAGAGCATAGTTACATTACCGAGTCCTGGCTGCTCCACTCATACAATGAACACGTAAATCCATCTCATGATAAAAATTTACCCATGTTTTCCCCACATTAAAACCCCCGTGACGAGTTAGAACTATTTTGCAGACATCTTACTTAGAATGTTACATTATATCTATAATGACCGTGCGTAGTGTTGAACCAGGTCCTGCATGACTCCGGTGGCAGGTTCTTCGTTTTAAGTTTTCGTAGTTTTATTGTCTAAAACTCTCTTTAATTTGTGTTCAAATATTGTATTGCATATAATGTATTTCTAAACCCGACTGAGTCACCTTAAAGCTGATTTTAAATAACCATTAAAACATTTAAAGCATTAGGTGACCCGTGGCTCGGCTGGCAGCGCACTCACCTCACATACTGAGTGTCCGTGGTTTGATCCCCGGAATGACTGGAAATGTTGGGCATGTTTCCTTACACCTGCTACCCCTGTTTACCTAGCAGCAGGCAGATACCTGGGTGGGTATTAGTCAACTGTTGTGGGTGGCATCCTGGGGGGTAGTATTATATCTTAGACTGGGATGGGCTGAGTTAGGAGAGTAGCTCTTAGCCTGTAAAAACTGATTAGTGCAAAAAAAAAAAAAAGAAAGTGTGTGTTGATGTATGATGAAGGTTATGTGTCTCAGCCACAACAACGTTCCACTAAGACTGGGGATCAGACTGGACAACGATCTAAAGTGGGATATAGCCATAAAACCCGTAGATAAATCTAACAGTACTAAATATCGATAACGAGGTATGCCACGAAACAACTAAAGTGACAAATTGCTTTAATTCATACTACATATCTGTCGCATCAACACTAGTAAGTAAACTACCAGCTGCATCAAATACCTTTAACACAGACTCTGAGTTTAAAACATACTATGCCAATAAAAGAGTAACCCCAAAGAGTTGTCAACTAGTAAGTGTATCTCATGACTTCGTGAAAAAAGAACTAAACAGATTAAACTCAACAAGGAGCACCGGCCCAGATAACATCCCGTCTAAGTTCCTAAAAGATGGTGCTTCTGAATTGCTAATCCCCATTGCTCGCATAATAAATTTGTTCATCATCACTGTTACAGTACCGGAGGGGTTCAAGGAGGCCAGAGTTACTCCTATCTTCAAGAAAAATAGTAGGTCTGATGTCAGCAACTATAGGTCTGTTAGGATACTCATTGTAATATCAAAAATTCTACAGAGGGCGGTATACTGTCAAGTAGTTAAGTATCTTAATGACAACAACATTCTCCATAGTTACCAATCAGGCTTTAGGAGATCTTACTCAACCGACACCTCCCTAATTAATCTGATGGATTACATGAGAACTGAAGTGTCGATAGGGAACCTTACAGGAATGGTAACCTTAGACTTGCTATAGGCCTTCGCTGCACTTCGACACTATCAACCACAATATATTATGTAAGAAATTTCAAGCTATCTGCATAGGTTCCGTAGACCGGTTTAAGTTCTGCCTTAGCAACAGGACACACATTATCAAAATCAACAAAACGGAATCAGAACCCCTGCCGATAGCATGTGGAGTTCCCAAGGTAGTATTCTGGGTCCCTTATTATTCCTATGTTATGTAAACAACATGCCCATCAGTGTCAAGTGTAAACTCCTACTGTATGCGGAGACAGTGCTCTGATAGTGTCAGGGAAAGACCCACAAGATATAGCTAAGGTAATAACACTGTCATGCAGCAAATAGTTAGTAGACAACAAACTATCGTTACACTTCGGGAAAACGGAAGCCATACTCTGGCACGAAACATAAACTGAGATAAGATAAGAGATTAAGATAAGATTTCGTTCGGGTTTTTAACCCTGGAGGGTTAGCCACCCAGGATAACCCAAGAAAGTCAGTGCGTCATCGAGGACTGTCTAACTTATTTCCATTGGGGTCGTCAATCTTGTTCCCCAGGATGCGACCCACACCAGTCGACTAACACCCAGGTACCCTATTTGCTGCTAGATGAACATGACAACAGGTGTAAGGAAACACGTCGAAATGTTTCCATCCGCCGGGTATCGAACCCGGGCCCTCCGTGTGTGAAGCGGGAGCTTTACCCACTAGGCCACCTGGTAAATAACATTAATATCCGGTGTAATGGGGAACCCATCACTTCAGTTTTCTCAGTAAAATATCTGGGAATCCCCTGTGACTCATACATGTCAGGAGAATTGATAGGGAACAGTGTAGTAAAGAAAGCGAATGCCAGACTAAAGTTCCTGTACAGACAAGCACAGTGTCTACCTACTGAGGCTCGCAGAACCCTTATACAATGTCATATGGACTACGCTTGCTCTTCACGGTACTCTGCCTTGACAAAAAAAAAAAAAAACTGAAAGACAAACTACAAATCACCCAGAGCAAAATGGTAAGATTCATCCTGGACCTGAGTCCAAGAGAACATGTAGGCCATGATGAATTACAACAATTGGATATGATGAATGTTGAGGATAGAGTAAAAAACTGAAGTTCAATCAAGTTTATGAAATTGCTCACAAACAGTGTCCAGAATATCTTGCTGTCAATTTTGTCAAGGTCGGGAACCAAAGCAATCATGGTAATAGAGGGGAAGAGCACAACTTTGTAGTTACCACAGTCAGTGGCCAGGCTTCAAACACCTTTTATTGTACAAGAATGGTATATAATACCGACGAGATGAAAACTGAGACACATGTGTAACATCAGGGTATCTTTATTATAGACGTTTCGCCATCCAATGGCTTTATCAATACAGACTCTAGGACATAGAAACTGTATTGATAAAGCCACTGAATGGCGAAACGTCTACAGCAAACATACCCAGATATTGCACATGTGTCTCAGTTTTCATCTCTCATTATACAGCAATAAAGAAATGGAACAGACTACCTGCAGATGTTAAAGCCAGACATAACATGAGCCAGTTCAACAAGAGAGCCAAAAGGTACCTAATGAATTAGTTAGTTAAAGATTCGCCGGTATTCTCCCGGCCCGGGCCTTTTCCAAGTGGTGGCCCGGCCTTGGCTCCCTCTTTAGGGAGTGTCTGAGACCTAAGTCTCCCATGGGAGGAGGCACAAGTACCTCCTCATCTTTGGGACCAACTGTCCCCAGGCCTAGCCACAAGCTAGGCCTCTCTGGTCTGCCATCCCCGCCACAAGGGGGCAAATGGGAATGACAGTCTTATGAGCTAAAGGCTCGGGCTCAGGCACCTACCCTACCCTAGAAGGGTTAGGCATGGTGTCGATGTACCTAATGAATGTAGCGACAGAAAGGGAGGAGAATGATTTTTTATCCTATTAGCTAACACACATGTATATATAAATAACTCATTTTTCCTTATTCCTAGTGTATCTCCTTTACAGTATAATAATAAGATATTATATCCATTATAATACAATAATAACGTATTAAAAGGACCCCTGGGTTATCCCAGGTTCTCTACACATGTTGCTATGTATGATATAATCTATGTAACTATTTGTGTATACCTGAATAAACTTACTGACTTCTTCCCCACCACCACCCCGTCCACCACCACCACCCCCTCCCCACCACCACCCTCTCCCCACCACCACCCCCCTCCCCACCACCATAATCATCACTCATCCTTAGCACCATCATCATCATCACGCCCTCCCCACCACCACCATCACGCCCTCTCCACCACCATCACGCCCTCTCCACCAATATCACGCCCTCTCCACCACCATCACGCCCTCTCCACCACCATCATGCACTCCCCACCACCATCACGCCCTCTCCACCACCATCACGCCCTCTCCACCACCCTCACGCCCTCTCCACCACCATCACGCCCTCTCCACCACCATCACGCCCTCTCCACCACCATCACGCCCTCTCCACCACTCTCACGCCCTCTCCACCACCATCACGCCCTCTCCATCACCATCACGCCCTCTCCACCACCATCACGCCCTCTCCATCACCATCATGCCCTCTCCACCACCATCACGCCCTTTCCACCACCATCACGCACTCCCCACCACCATCACGCACTCCCCACCACCATCACGCACTCCCCACCACCATCACGCACTCCCCACCACCGTCATGCTCTCCCACCACCATCACGCCCTCTCCATCACCATCATGTCCTCCCCACCACCATCACGCCCTCCCCACCACCATCAACCTTTTTCCCTCCACCACCTCCAATCTTCACCACCATCCACCGGCACATAGCTAATGTATCCAGTTGTGCTAAATAAAGAAAATATGTCCCTCACCCACTCCAGACACCCTCACTTCCCCACTTACACTCATCACCACAACCCTCCACCAACACCACTAACACTCCCCACTCACCTGGCAGGTCTTCATGCTGCGGCTTCAGCAAGTGAATGTCACTAACCTCGGTGGCGTCTCCTTTATATACTGACGGGCTTTTGGTACCCAACATCCAGAGTAGTGACCAGAGCCTGGAACGTTGGTGACCAGAGTCTGCAACGTTGGTGACCAAAGCCTGCAACGTTGGTGACCAGAGCCTGGAACGTTGGTAACCAGAGCCTGGAACGCTGATGCCCAGCAACTGGAACGGTGACCATAGCATTAATCAATAAAGACCAGGAGCATTAAGCTTATATAGTGTCTATGGGAGAACAAGATGGTGTACTCTACAATCACTACATACAAATCACTCGGGACAAAGATTACCAGAAATAAATCCTAAACAAAAGGTCACGACTGGAACTGATACATATAAACGACTCACGGATTATCAGGAAGATCAAGAAATGAGAAGATCTGAACAACGACACGATGGATGTGAAGAACAAACAGGGATTCAACAATAAATATGACAGTACTAGTGCACGTCAGTCGTTCGCAGCTATGAGGCAGAACCAAGAGCTAGAGCTCACACCTCTTCCCCTTCTCCCTCCCACAGATTCAAATAATTACAAATAGGCAATCGCACAAAAATGAACTTAAGAGTATTGTTGGAAATGGTGCAACAGTTGGGTATCTTTGTTGATGAAACGTTTCGCCCACACAGTAAACTTCTTCAGAGGCAGCAGTAGTAATGCAATAAAGATTATTTAATAATGTTAGAATTACTGACAATATGTTAGGTAAAAGAACACAAATGCAACTAATGTGACATTATACTGCGGCAACGTTTCGCTGGAGAGTGAAACGTTGCCACAATAAAATATGATACAGCTTATTTATATGCAAATTATGCTGCGGGTAATTAACTATTCACCTTAATTAAGCATAAAAGTGACTTGTAGCTTAGTGATTAGAGCGTCCGGCGTACAATCTAAAGGTCCTGGGTTCAATCTCCGGGCAGATTAAGACGAATGATCAAGTCTCCTTACACTTGATTCCACTGATCTAGCAGTAAATAGATACCTCAGTGTTAGGCGTCTGAGAAGTTCTTACACAAAAAAAAGATCGCGGTGAGGAATCAAGTACAAAACGACTATTTATGATATATAACGGAAGCGGCTAATGGAGAGAAACAGAAAAAAACATTAAAATTAACATCCCAGAAGAGGTACAACGGGAGAATGATAGAGACAATACTGTGGTGACAAGACAGGTTGATTGTGTAAGGTTGTTGGAGGTACGTGGGAAAACACCGGACATAGACGGCAGCTAGAGAGACAGATGAGCTACGGAGAAGTCAGGAAGTACTTTCTTTAGCCTCACGAGAGTCAGTGAGTGGAATGATCTGCATGGAGACGATGATTATGTTCGGATTATTAAGCCGGAGGATCAGCAACCCAGCATAACCCAGTAAAGTCAGGATGTTATCGCGGTCTGTCTGGCTTATATCCACTGGGGAAGGGAGAGTAGAGAATACTTCCACACACAGCTGCAAGTGACCTGTGATCACTATAACCAGTCGTAAGCAGTTAAATGCAAACCTGAGCTATGAAACACCAGAATGGGAGGAAATATATTTAATCAAAGGCACTGTAGGATATTAGAATCAATAACTCTTCACCAATATCAGAACAGCTCTCTTCCCTTGAAGCCAGCGAGACATTAGTAAAGAAGGAGAGGACAGACGATCTTGGCAAAACATATCGAAGAATTTTAATAGATTAGCTGCTTCCAAGATCTAACAAGCAGATAATGGCAGCAAAACACCACACACAGCTTTAAGAATATAACTCTAATTCTTGACCTTGAAGAAGCCATTGATAGCATGCCCATACACCTCGCCCCAGGACCAGACTCGTGGAACTCGATATTCTTCAAGAATTGTAAGAAATCCTTATCATGCACTTCAAATATTCTATTCTTTAAGTAATCATTACTCAGTAAAACGTAGGTCAGATATGAGAGACCTGGGAGTGATAATGTCAGTAGATCTCACGATCAAGAAGCACAATAGAGTTATTATCGCATCTGCAAGAAAAATTATATGTTGGATTACTAGAATCTTCAAAACAACGGATGCCGAGCCAATGATGACTCTCTGCCGGTCACTAGTTCTCTCTAGGCTAAAGTATTGCTGTTTATTAACGGGTCTCCTTCAACACAGTCAAAACTGATGAGTTGGAAAATATATAGAAAACCTTCACAACTTTTTTAAACACAGCCAAACACGTAAATTGCTGGGCTTGCTTGACATCCTTAGAACGTAGGCGAGAAAAATTCGTCATAATCTATACCTGGAAGTTACTGGAAAGATTAGTCCCAAACCTACACACCGAAATTACTTCTTATGAAAACAAGAGACTTAGCAGATGGTGCAAGAAACTTCAAAAGAAAAGCAGGGAAGCGATGAGTACACAGAGAGAACTTAATAACTGTTAAAGGATCGCTGCTCTCCAACATCCTTCTTTCATGTATATATTTTGGCAGAATTACCGACAATATGTAAAGTAAAAGGACACAAGTGCAACTAATGTAACATTTTATTGTGGCAACGTTTCGCTCTCCAGGAGCATTGTCAAGCCGAAACGGCTTGACAAAGCTCCTGGAGAGCGAAACGTTGCCACAATAAAAATGTCACATTAGTTGCACTTGTGTTGTTTTAACACACCTTTCCTCCGTGCCTGGGACGGGTCACCAAGAAACCCTTCGCTGCTTTTAAAAGAAAATTCGACAGATTCCTAAAAACAGTTCCTGATCAAACTGGTTGTGGTGCAAACGTCGAACTACGGGCAGAGTGCACTAACAGCTTGGTCGATCAGGTCAGCAACCAGGAGTCCTGTTCCGGGATTGGGCAGCAGAGGGTGTGACCTACGGTACTACTGTAGGTACGACCATACCCATGATTCACAAAACATAACGGGGTTAAGAGGAGGGAAGGAGGTGTGAACGACTCAGGAGACGAAACTCAACCCACAACCACAAACAAATAAATACACGAGAATAATCTTGTTAACCAAACCGCCCTCTGACCCCCCCCCCAACACACACACACACGCACACACACAAACACAAACACACACATACAGACATACAGACACTGGAGGGACAGGAGGGTCAGGGGAGACATGATAACGACATATAAAATACTGCGTGGAATAGACAAGGTGGACAAAGACAGGATGTTCCAGGGAGGGGGCACAGAAACAAGAGGCCACAATTGGAAGTAGAAGACACAAATGAGTCAGAGAGATATTAGGAAGTATTTCTTCAGTCATAGAGTTGTAAGGCAGTGGAATAGCCTAGAAAATGACGTAGTGGAGGCAGGAACCATACACAGTTTTAAGACGAGGTTTGATAAAGCTCATGGAGCGGGGAGAGAGAGGGCCCAGTAGCAACCGGTGAAGAGGCGGGGCCAGGAGCTAAGACTCGACCCCTGCAACCACAAATAGGTGAGTACAAATAGGTGAGTACACACACACACACACACACACACACACACACACACACACACACACACATGGAAAGAAGGTGGAGAACTCACAAGAAACGATCAAGAGGTATGCGAGGAGCTCAACATGAGATTTAAGGAAGTATTTACAGTGGAGACAGGAAGGCCTCTGTGGGGAAAGACCAGATGGGGACACCAGCAAGGAATATACCAACAAGTGTTGGATGACATACCTACAGATGAGGAGGAGGTGAAGAAACTGCTAAGGGACATAGATACCTCAAAGACAATGGGACCGGACAACATCTCCCAGTGGGTCCTTAGAGAGGGAGCGGATATGTTGTGTGTGCCACTTCCCACAATCTTCAACACGTCCCTGGAAACTGGGCAACTACCTGAGGTATGGAAGACGGCAAATGTAGTTCCCATTTTTAAAAAAGGAGACAGAAAAGAGGCACTAAACTACAGACCTGTGTCACTGATGTGTATAGTATGCAAAGTTATGGAGAAGATTATCAGGAGGAGAGTGGTGGAGCACCTGGAATGGAACAAGAGTATAAACGCCAACCAGCATGGATTTATGGAAGGAAAATCCTGTGTCACAAACCTTCTGGAGTTTTATGATAAAGTAAAAGAAGTAAGACACGAAAGAGAGGGGTGGGTTGATTGCATCTTCTTGGACTGCAAGAAGGCCTTTGACACAGTTCCTCACAAGAGATTAGTGCAGAAGCTAGAGGATCAGGTTCATATAACAGGAAGGGCACTGCAATGGATCAGAGAATACCTGACAGGGAGGCAACAACGAGTCATGGTACGTAATGATGTATCACAGTGGGCACCTGTGACGAGAGGGTCCCACAGGGGTCGGTCCTAGGACCAGTGCTATTTTTGGTATATGTGAACAACATGATGGAAGGGTTAGACTCAGAAGTGTCCCTGTTTGCAGATGATGTGAAGTTAATGAGGAGAATTAAATCTGATGAGGACCAGGCAGGACTTCAAAGAGACCTGGACAGACTGGACACCTGGTCCAGCAAATGGCTTCTCGAATTTAATCCTGCCAAATGCAAAGTCATGAAGATAGGGGAAGGGCACAGAAGACCACAGACAGAGTATAGGCTAGGTGGCCAAAGACTGTAAACCTCACTCAAGGAGAAAGATCTTGGGGTGAGTATAACACCGAGCATGTCTCCGGAAGCACACATCAATCAGATAACTGCTGCAGCATATGGGCGCCTGGCAAACCTGAGAACAGCATTCCGACACCTTAGCAAGGAATCATTCAAGACACTGTACACCGTGTATGTCAGGCCCATACTGGAGTATGCAGCACCTGTTTGGAACCCGCACTTGATAAAGCACGTCAAGAAACTAGAGAAAGTACAAAGGTTTGCAACAAGGTTAGTTCCAGAGCTAAGGGGAATGTCCTATGAAGAAAGATTAAGGGAAATCGGCCTGACGACACTGGAGGACAGGAGGGTCAGGGGAGACATGATAACGACATATAAAATACTGCGTGGAATAGACAAGGTGGACAAGGACAGGATGTTCCAGGGAGGGGACACAGAAACAAGAGGCCACAATTGGAAGTTGAAGACACAAATGAGTCAGAGAGATAGTAGGAAGTATTTCTTCAGTCATAGAGTTGTAAGGCAGTGGAATAGCCTAGAAAATGACGTAGTGGAGGCAGGAACCATACACAGTTTTAAGACGAGGTTTGATAAAGCTCATGGAGCGGGGAGAGAGAGGGCCTAGTAGCAACCGGTGAAGAG